CCTTTTTAACAACGATCCTCATTCAACATTGTTATGTCTAAAATTTTTTCAAGCAGTTTTGTGGACAGTAAAAATCAAAAAAAAATAACTTCCCTTCACTATGTTATTAAAAATTACATCCAATAGAAGTTTATACTGTATTTTGGACCACTTCTGCAGTCCCCACCTATTGAAAGAGTATAAATTATCGAAAATTCAGTAATATATTTGAGTGTTTATGGTAACTGATGCACATCTGTCTAGAAACCAGTCTTCTCCTAAAACTTTCATGGGAATAACACGTCAACATGGACAACAGCTGTTTGAGAACATTTAGCTCTGTACACCGAACTGCAGTGCGTATTACGTGATCCGTTGCGATTTTTCTGTTATGTGAAAGATAATTTGTTTCTAAATACCGTAAACCACGTTGTAAGAAAATTTCCGCATTTTTCCAACCGCGTTGGAGCGAAAACACGTTGTAGGAGGTCTACCTGTATCCTTCATTTCAACAATATGCATCTATGCAATGTCCAATATAATGTTCTTTTTCCTTAAAAGTGAGATCTTTGTTAATCCAGGCTTCTATTTAATTCATCTAATTCTACAGCCAAACAATTTAAATTTATTATTATTCACAAGGATAATGGACTATGAATTGTTAATAAAACAACTACTCAATGACAAAATTAGATATCAAACTTAAAATGTTTATTTAATATGATCCATAATATTTTTAATTTAAAAAAAATCAATTTCAAATATCAATTTTAGCATTAAATTATTAATGTATTGTTTTACAGTAAAATTTAAACAATTTATATAATGGTTATAATCTTAAATATTTTAAGCACTACATTACCAATTCCTTTATTTCTTTTGATATAAAAAAAATTATAGATGAGGAGCAAAAAACTTATCAGAAATAAAAATATTTAATTGAGAGATTTCTATTTTATCTTTAATGTAAAGATATAATGAATAGAGTTTATCACCATTCATTGTATTTTTCAAAAGTGCATTAAATTTAGTATTAATACAGAAATTATTTTAAAAGTCCAAAGTCAAAACTGGAAGAGAAAACTTGTAATAAAATGAAAACCACACACACTTTTCCACCAAACAGAATTTATGGAACAAAATAATGTTTTTGGTATATAAAATAAGCCAAAAACATTTGTTCCATAAACTCCTTTGTGTTTCTGAAAAGCATTTATGGTTTTCATTTTTTCTTATTTGTCTATTATTTTTACCATAGCTTTTAAAATATTTCCATAATGTTTGAATAATTACATAAATTTAAAAAATTTTTACTTTGAAAACCTGTAATGTCAGAAAAAATTGTTTCATCAAAGTATAAGCAATCACAAACCACAGGTCACTGCTATGAATGACCTGCGATTTATGGCTTCTTATACTTCAAAAGAAACAGTAGACAATGTCATAGAATGGTAAACAACAAATAGAGCAACTGAGAAGCAATTGATAAAAACCCATATTACATATTGTTGATCCAAATGGAAGAAATGCAAAGAATTCAATAAAAGAACAAACATTAAGTCCTTGGTTTGCAATAAAGGGAAAAAAAGTATCTCACTGAATAATATGTATTTGCTTAAAATTATTTTTTCACTTATAATTTCTCAATTATTATATAATAAAAATTTTAATAAATAAAAAGTACATAAGGGTAAAATCAAAATATTAAATGTGTTAATAATAGTTAGAATTGTTAAGATCAAAAATTAAATCATATCAATGAAATATGATAAGAGATATTGAATATCAAATTTTAATTAAAATTAAAAAAAGTTTAATCTACTTTTAAAACATTACTTTAAAATTAATACAATACTTAGACCTATAAATGTTGAAAAGGAGAGACAGTAATCAATATAAATGTTTTAATAATAAAAATTTAAATGTGTTTTTCTACAACCTATTATGAAAATTAATAATAAATCAATAATAAAATTATTTATAAATGAATTAAATCATTTATAAAATTAGATATTTTTATTTCTCAAAATGATACTATTGTATCATATGCTGCTGTCAGCTGATAATTTTTCACTGAAGTTACAAGACTTTATAAAAACAAATTTATACAGAATTTTGTTTAAAAAATCAAGTGGTGACAGTTTAAACTGTCACCATTTAAAAATCAATTGCACATTTAAGCTATCATATTTGATAATGATTTAACTGTCACCTAAGAAAATTTCAAATGTGTAAGTATAGAAGACTAAAATATAGTACTCAAGTATTTTATCTATTTGTTTTATTTAGTTATTATTAAATCATAAAAGTATAATTACCAGTTAACAAATGTTAAATAAATACAGAATAATTTTCTGAACTTTTAATACAAAACAAATAAAATAAAAATAAACAAAATTCATTCAAATGTTATTAAATTTGTTACCTACAATTTAACTTTTATACTAACAATAATGATTTAAATACAGTATACAGTAATTAATTTAGAAAAATATACATGAAATGAATAAAAAATTCTAAAATATTCAATATAAAATTTAATTAAATTTTAATATAGTTTCTTAGAAATTTAACTCTTTAATTATCGAGATTTTACATTAATTAGTTGCTAAAAAAAAAAGTTATCAATGGATTTCCTTCATTAGATAAGCAATTAAAAACATTTTTACAGCAATAATTATTATAATAGTCCTATAATAAAAAAATAATTTAAAATATTTATTATAACAAAACATCTCTCAATGGTAGTTATACAAACGTATTTTCGAATCATTAGAAATAGCCTTACACATTATTTGATTTATAATACCATAGCTTGTTTTACTATTTAAAATGAAACTTTGAACTTGGTATATTTAAATAATTCTTTTCATACATTAAAATACTGTAGTTCATTCTAAAAAAAAACTTTTCCTAATTAAAACATACATCATAATATACATATAAAAAAAATTTTCAAACATTTTTTTGCAAAATAAAAATAAACCATTAATGTTCATAAATTAAAGTTATTGCAGAAAGAAAAATCTAAATCTGGATTTACTAAAATATAGAAAAAAAATTATAAATTTCAACATTTGCTAATAAATATATGATTATAAAACAAATGAATAAGAATAAACATAAGAAATTTTACAATATACACATTTATGTTTGTCTTATATTTTAAACAAAAGGAACGTGTAATATGTGAATTACACATACAAAACGTAAGTAATTTTGGACTTTTTAACCTATCCTGGGACTTCAATTATGAATTTTAATAAATGTTCAATAGCCCAATTCTAAAAACGATGAAAGAGAATTATGTTACGTTCGGAAATTCGAATGTAATGGAATATGTAATGTTGGTTTAAAAAAAATACGTTCAAATATGAATTTACAGTAAAATAAAAGCATATTACAAATAAAGTGAACAACTAACTTTTTCAATTTATATTAAATTATATAATTTCTCAATGACGTTGTTTTGATATTCAATACTATAATAATAATAATACATCGCAGCAGGTGAAATTCCGTGAAGAAAAATCATTCAAAAAATCAAATATCCATAAATTTAATGTATTTATCAACATTTTTTGTAATAATAAAAATATACGTGAAGTATTTATTAAGTAAAATGCATTTACCTTTGTATTCCACTCTTTTATTCTCTTTTGTGAAACTTAAAGGGGTACTTCTTTCTCTTGTACACCAACCTCTGGGTAAGGGAGTCTCTACTTCGTTTACAGCTGGATAAAGAGCTTTCATTTGATCTTCCAATTTGTTTTCTAGTTTGTGTTCGATTATATGCCCACTATTGGTTCTTGCCATTATGCAATTTCGATTCATGAAACGAATTAAACAATTAAATTTTTTATCCCATTTGTTTCCCACGCTCAACTTCCATCAGCTGATCGAGAATGTATTGCGCCATCTACAAAACGGAGTTTCTTTGTGACAAAATATTTCGGATTTATTTATTATTTATTTTTCTTATTTAATCACAATTAAACATTTATATAAAATAATATATTTCCATTTCAAATAATTAAAATTATATTTTGCATTATAATTTTTTCTGATTATTAAAAATTATTCAAAAACGTCACAGTAGTTGTATGTGATGTCATAATTGTTTGATAGTTTAAAAATTCTTTTCGTATATTTTTCTAAACCTTACTGAAAAATATATCATATTTAATCATAAATTATCATAAAAACATTGTGCATTTTAAACCCCTATACTACCTTATGTAACACAGTATGTACACTGTACACTACATTAGAACGGGCATTGTCCTTTGTTTTTTCAATGTGTTTTATAATGAATGATTTTTCTAAATTAAACTGAAATTTTAAATTCTTCGCTTGTTCAATGGAAATAGTACGACTTGGAGCGATTAAACTTATTTTATTCCTCACAAAAATTTATCCGGAAATTTTCTCATCTCTTTGCCCCAATTGACAGTATAATACGCAACCTGTTTTCATGCACTATTAAGAATATAAAACTGACGATAGTTACGGTGTTTTAATACTAATCCTATATTTAAACTGTCCGTTATCGGCAAATTTTAGACTATCGTTTCAAATCTTTATAGATTATACATTTAACTTCCATGTCAAAATGTTTGGAGCGTTTTAATACCACTGTAAACTAAATCTACTAAATTTCATTATCTTTTCATTGCTTTATAATGTATACTATACTGTACTTCTTTGCAATATTTTTAGTAAGGAAATTCTTATAATTTGGTAATTCTACGTGAAATTGTTTGAGAAACACAGTAACATTACGCATTCTTTCACTATATTCCCCCTTTTAAATTTTTTATATTGTACAGTACATAATAAAAATAGGGATATTCAAAATTCCGAACAAAAATTTTAAATTGCTAAATACTTTATTTATTTATTAAAATATAAATTACTTGTTTGTATCAGTGCATCTGTTATATTCTTTTAGTAATAATATAAATTACAAAATTATTGAATTATAATAAAAGAAAACACATGTTTCTAATAAGGATTTTAATATCAAAATAGAAGTTTATACATTTTTGGTAGACAATCCGGATTATTAATCACATTTTTACAAATACATTGGAATGAATTGGCTGCAATATAAATTGAACATCAAGTGCAAATATTTTTAAAAAATATACATTTGTTGTTTTTGAACAATACATGAGTACAATATTTTATTTATATCTGTTTACATTTAAATCATATAAAGAAGAAATTATATGGTCAAAATTTAAGTAATTTATTATTAAATTCATTTTCAGATAAAATAGGCAATCAAAACTTTAGCAGCCACCTTAATTATCCAATAGCTACACAATTTAAGGAATGAGGTATTTTAGTTCAAATCACCCTGGTAATACAACCCATGTTATGAAAAATTACTTTGAAGAAAAATTATTGCAATAAAAACAACCATTATTACATCTCAAAAGTACCTTTTAGTGCATTTACTAACCAAGAGGGTGCTTTTCATAATTAAAACTTTGTACTGCTTGTAATCATTCTAATTTCACTAACCAGATCTCTTATCATTATGACTTATTTGCTCAAAAATGTATGTAAAAATAAAATCCCATTTGGAATATTTTATTAATACATTGTTCAAATATGGACGGCATATAGTATAAAACATTTATATAAAATACATTAAAATGTTGATCAGAATTACATAATAAAATGTTGGAATGCTGAAACAATAAAATTAAGTCACAAAAAAAAAATAATACATAAAACATTATTAATTTCATTATCAACAGCTGCCTGAAAAATTCAAGCATTTTTTTTTCTATCATATTGCTTAATGAAATATTAGAAATAAAATATTTCAAACAGTAAATACTGCCATTGGATCTTGTTTTCAGGGACTTGAGTCTTTTAAATTTTGGAAATATCACTTACAAATTACAGCTGATTGGAAGACAATATTAAAGTGTTACAATAGTATTATCTTCAGTTTTTTGTCCTTCCACTTCTGAAAATACCGCTCCTGTATGATCTCTAATTTCATCTTCATCATACCGATCGTCGTCACTCGGGAGAGATTGAGCGGACTGTTGAGAACCGTGAGACATCTGTGAAGAATGACCGAATGATCCACGTCGTGGAAAAGCAAAATTGCATTGATTAGCCGGTCGAATTGTAATTATAAGATTGGATGAATTGGCAACCATCATATCCGTAACCTGATCTAAAGTTTTACCAACCACTTCAATTCCATTCACTTCTAACACCTCATCATTAACAGCAAGAAGACCTGTACTTTCTGCTAGTCCACCTGGTACTAAGCGAGAAATAAAAATTCCTGGCACTTTTTCTAAACCATGTGGAGTAACTCTTACACTAGTCCCATCACGAATATAAAATCCTAATGGTTTGTCAGATCCATGCTTCACAAGTCGTACCCGCCGACAAGTTTCAGGTACAATGTCAACATCAATGATTGAAGATACTTGTCTAAAATCTTCAGGTAAACTAATAGAAATGTGTGAACGAACTTTTGGAACAGAAGGTAAAAGATAATGACTTAAAAATTTCTTCTTTTTTCCAGCAATTCCATATCCATTTACTTCTTCCCAACTCTCACCTATTGAAAAAAATAATTTTCTCTTTAGTATAGAAATATTGAGACATAATTAATAAGAAATTTAATATAAATAGTCACATTAATCAACAAAATCTTACAAATAATATTAATAAAAATGTCGATATAAAAGCACAATAACTGATATCCAGAAAAAAATCTGCAGAATTTTATCTGACAGTTTTTACCTTGGGAAAAAGAAAACTATGAACTAAACGGTAATTTGAAAGGTGATGAAAAGCTATACATTATTTTTTATTTTCATAACAAGTGTTCATTGTCAAATGTGGAGTATAATGCAAGTTTCTGTATAAGACTTTCCAGACAGTACTTCATGCAATTGAATCACTGTTGTTTCTTGCCTTTCACTTTTTTTTTTTTTATATGGCTACCTTGAGAATTACCCAAAAATCCTCAATTTGCCTAATTTCTGGGTTGTCCTCCTTTTAGATGAAGGTGATGTTTTGTTGTTGCAGGTAATTCAGTACAGTTTTGGCCTGGTGAAAACCTGCTTGGTCTGATCAGAAGACATTCTGCTTGAGAATCACTATTTTGAATGTGTGGGATCAGGTGCTGTCACATAGATTAATAGCAAAACTTAATTTTTTTATTAAGGCTTCACTCAATCCTTTAAGTCCTGTTACCCAAATCAAAATATTACCCTTAAATTTCTTTTTCTTGGAAAACTTTACATTGTCAGGTGTAGAGGAGATATCATTGGTTTAAAATTCATCACCATTAATTGTCAAGTGCAAGAGAGTGAAGTAAGATTCATCATCCAAAATGAAGAACTTTTCAGAGAACTTTTAAAGTAACCTCCTGCACTTCATCTTTGCCAGTAATCTTTGGATGTGCATTCTGTCTGGAATTACCTGCTTCTTTCAATATTTATTAATGTGTTTTTGTATTCAAAGCCTCATGGAACAAAGTACATGAAATTTTCAGTTCCAGGGCTAAAGTCAAATTGAAACCTTCAAAAGTCATCTTCAATTCTTCCAACTTGGCTGTTTTGTTAGAATTTTCACTTTTTTACCAGACTCCTTTTCACTCTGCAATGGTAATCCACTCTTAAAATGTTGGATAACACAATATATTACATTTTGAAATTCCTTCATTTGCAAAATGAGTATGATAAACTTTTTACCTAATATTTTATTTAATGTGTAAAATTGTAAAAAAAAAAAAAAAAAAAATTGCTTTTAAACCTAAGAGTTACGTTTAAAAGCACCTTTTTTCATTGCCACTTTGAAAGAAAAAGAAAATCAAATGCAGAAAAAGATTCTACAATGTTCTACATCATTCAACAAGCTTTCGGATATATCATGTGCAGCATAATTTAAAATTACTGTATTGGCTGTTATCTAGAGCCTGAGATATTTTGTGATTATTTGTCTAGACACCATTACATATAAAAATAAAATATCATTGAAAATTGAACATTAGTTAACATCTACAATCAGAATTATTTAGGCTACAACTGAACTAATTATGAAATGATCAAATAAAATATATTTAGTCTAAAAGGTAAGCAGTTAGACCAGTGTTTCTCAACCTCTTACGAATAGTCGCCCCCTTCAACGTAGTATCGCCCCCTTCACTTCAAAATTCCGATGCCGCAGGCAAAGGCTAACGCCAAATTCGTACTGCATTGAATAGACTAGTGACTAGTATAATGTTATTTGTTTAATTATTGTACGATATAACGAATAAAATATCCAATTATTCTTAATATAATGTTTTACTATATCGCCCAGAAAATTGTTTNATTTGTCTATTATTTTTACCATAGCTTTTAAAATATTTCCATAATGTTTGAATAATTACATAAATTTAAAAAATTTTTACTTTGAAAACCTGTAATGTCAGAAAAAATTGTTTCATCAAAGTATAAGCAATCACAAACCACAGGTCACTGCTATGAATGACCTGCGATTTATGGCTTCTTATACTTCAAAAGAAACAGTAGACAATGTCATAGAATGGTAAACAACAAATAGAGCAACTGAGAAGCAATTGATAAAAACCCATATTACATATTGTTGATCCAAATGGAAGAAATGCAAAGAATTCAATAAAAGAACAAACATTAAGTCCTTGGTTTGCAATAAAGGGAAAAAAAGTATCTCACTGAATAATATGTATTTGCTTAAAATTATTTTTTCACTTATAATTTCTCAATTATTATATAATAAAAATTTTAATAAATAAAAAGTACATAAGGGTAAAATCAAAATATTAAATGTGTTAATAATAGTTAGAATTGTTAAGATCAAAAATTAAATCATATCAATGAAATATGATAAGAGATATTGAATATCAAATTTTAATTAAAATTAAAAAAAGTTTAATCTACTTTTAAAACATTACTTTAAAATTAATACAATACTTAGACCTATAAATGTTGAAAAGGAGAGACAGTAATCAATATAAATGTTTTAATAATAAAAATTTAAATGTGTTTTTCTACAACCTATTATGAAAATTAATAATAAATCAATAATAAAATTATTTATAAATGAATTAAATCATTTATAAAATTAGATATTTTTATTTCTCAAAATGATACTATTGTATCATATGCTGCTGTCAGCTGATAATTTTTCACTGAAGTTACAAGACTTTATAAAAACAAATTTATACAGAATTTTGTTTAAAAAATCAAGTGGTGACAGTTTAAACTGTCACCATTTAAAAATCAATTGCACATTTAAGCTATCATATTTGATAATGATTTAACTGTCACCTAAGAAAATTTCAAATGTGTAAGTATAGAAGACTAAAATATAGTACTCAAGTATTTTATCTATTTGTTTTATTTAGTTATTATTAAATCATAAAAGTATAATTACCAGTTAACAAATGTTAAATAAATACAGAATAATTTTCTGAACTTTTAATACAAAACAAATAAAATAAAAATAAACAAAATTCATTCAAATGTTATTAAATTTGTTACCTACAATTTAACTTTTATACTAACAATAATGATTTAAATACAGTATACAGTAATTAATTTAGAAAAATATACATGAAATGAATAAAAAATTCTAAAATATTCAATATAAAATTTAATTAAATTTTAATATAGTTTCTTAGAAATTTAACTCTTTAATTATCGAGATTTTACATTAATTAGTTGCTAAAAAAAAAAGTTATCAATGGATTTCCTTCATTAGATAAGCAATTAAAAACATTTTTACAGCAATAATTATTATAATAGTCCTATAATAAAAAAATAATTTAAAATATTTATTATAACAAAACATCTCTCAATGGTAGTTATACAAACGTATTTTCGAATCATTAGAAATAGCCTTACACATTATTTGATTTATAATACCATAGCTTGTTTTACTATTTAAAATGAAACTTTGAACTTGGTATATTTAAATAATTCTTTTCATACATTAAAATACTGTAGTTCATTCTAAAAAAAAACTTTTCCTAATTAAAACATACATCATAATATACATATAAAAAAAATTTTCAAACATTTTTTTGCAAAATAAAAATAAACCATTAATGTTCATAAATTAAAGTTATTGCAGAAAGAAAAATCTAAATCTGGATTTACTAAAATATAGAAAAAAAATTATAAATTTCAACATTTGCTAATAAATATATGATTATAAAACAAATGAATAAGAATAAACATAAGAAATTTTACAATATACACATTTATGTTTGTCTTATATTTTAAACAAAAGGAACGTGTAATATGTGAATTACACATACAAAACGTAAGTAATTTTGGACTTTTTAACCTATCCTGGGACTTCAATTATGAATTTTAATAAATGTTCAATAGCCCAATTCTAAAAACGATGAAAGAGAATTATGTTACGTTCGGAAATTCGAATGTAATGGAATATGTAATGTTGGTTTAAAAAAAATACGTTCAAATATGAATTTACAGTAAAATAAAAGCATATTACAAATAAAGTGAACAACTAACTTTTTCAATTTATATTAAATTATATAATTTCTCAATGACGTTGTTTTGATATTCAATACTATAATAATAATAATACATCGCAGCAGGTGAAATTCCGTGAAGAAAAATCATTCAAAAAATCAAATATCCATAAATTTAATGTATTTATCAACATTTTTTGTAATAATAAAAATATACGTGAAGTATTTATTAAGTAAAATGCATTTACCTTTGTATTCCACTCTTTTATTCTCTTTTGTGAAACTTAAAGGGGTACTTCTTTCTCTTGTACACCAACCTCTGGGTAAGGGAGTCTCTACTTCGTTTACAGCTGGATAAAGAGCTTTCATTTGATCTTCCAATTTGTTTTCTAGTTTGTGTTCGATTATATGCCCACTATTGGTTCTTGCCATTATGCAATTTCGATTCATGAAACGAATTAAACAATTAAATTTTTTATCCCATTTGTTTCCCACGCTCAACTTCCATCAGCTGATCGAGAATGTATTGCGCCATCTACAAAACGGAGTTTCTTTGTGACAAAATATTTCGGATTTATTTATTATTTATTTTTCTTATTTAATCACAATTAAACATTTATATAAAATAATATATTTCCATTTCAAATAATTAAAATTATATTTTGCATTATAATTTTTTCTGATTATTAAAAATTATTCAAAAACGTCACAGTAGTTGTATGTGATGTCATAATTGTTTGATAGTTTAAAAATTCTTTTCGTATATTTTTCTAAACCTTACTGAAAAATATATCATATTTAATCATAAATTATCATAAAAACATTGTGCATTTTAAACCCCTATACTACCTTATGTAACACAGTATGTACACTGTACACTACATTAGAACGGGCATTGTCCTTTGTTTTTTCAATGTGTTTTATAATGAATGATTTTTCTAAATTAAACTGAAATTTTAAATTCTTCGCTTGTTCAATGGAAATAGTACGACTTGGAGCGATTAAACTTATTTTATTCCTCACAAAAATTTATCCGGAAATTTTCTCATCTCTTTGCCCCAATTGACAGTATAATACGCAACCTGTTTTCATGCACTATTAAGAATATAAAACTGACGATAGTTACGGTGTTTTAATACTAATCCTATATTTAAACTGTCCGTTATCGGCAAATTTTAGACTATCGTTTCAAATCTTTATAGATTATACATTTAACTTCCATGTCAAAATGTTTGGAGCGTTTTAATACCACTGTAAACTAAATCTACTAAATTTCATTATCTTTTCATTGCTTTATAATGTATACTATACTGTACTTCTTTGCAATATTTTTAGTAAGGAAATTCTTATAATTTGGTAATTCTACGTGAAATTGTTTGAGAAACACAGTAACATTACGCATTCTTTCACTATATTCCCCCTTTTAAATTTTTTATATTGTACAGTACATAATAAAAATAGGGATATTCAAAATTCCGAACAAAAATTTTAAATTGCTAAATACTTTATTTATTTATTAAAATATAAATTACTTGTTTGTATCAGTGCATCTGTTATATTCTTTTAGTAATAATATAAATTACAAAATTATTGAATTATAATAAAAGAAAACACATGTTTCTAATAAGGATTTTAATATCAAAATAGAAGTTTATACATTTTTGGTAGACAATCCGGATTATTAATCACATTTTTACAAATACATTGGAATGAATTGGCTGCAATATAAATTGAACATCAAGTGCAAATATTTTTAAAAAATATACATTTGTTGTTTTTGAACAATACATGAGTACAATATTTTATTTATATCTGTTTACATTTAAATCATATAAAGAAGAAATTATATGGTCAAAATTTAAGTAATTTATTATTAAATTCATTTTCAGATAAAATAGGCAATCAAAACTTTAGCAGCCACCTTAATTATCCAATAGCTACACAATTTAAGGAATGAGGTATTTTAGTTCAAATCACCCTGGTAATACAACCCATGTTATGAAAAATTACTTTGAAGAAAAATTATTGCAATAAAAACAACCATTATTACATCTCAAAAGTACCTTTTAGTGCATTTACTAACCAAGAGGGTGCTTTTCATAATTAAAACTTTGTACTGCTTGTAATCATTCTAATTTCACTAACCAGATCTCTTATCATTATGACTTATTTGCTCAAAAATGTATGTAAAAATAAAATCCCATTTGGAATATTTTATTAATACATTGTTCAAATATGGACGGCATATAGTATAAAACATTTATATAAAATACATTAAAATGTTGATCAGAATTACATAATAAAATGTTGGAATGCTGAAACAATAAAATTAAGTCACAAAAAAAAAATAATACATAAAACATTATTAATTTCATTATCAACAGCTGCCTGAAAAATTCAAGCATTTTTTTTTCTATCATATTGCTTAATGAAATATTAGAAATAAAATATTTCAAACAGTAAATACTGCCATTGGATCTTGTTTTCAGGGACTTGAGTCTTTTAAATTTTGGAAATATCACTTACAAATTACAGCTGATTGGAAGACAATATTAAAGTGTTACAATAGTATTATCTTCAGTTTTTTGTCCTTCCACTTCTGAAAATACCGCTCCTGTATGATCTCTAATTTCATCTTCATCATACCGATCGTCGTCACTCGGGAGAGATTGAGCGGACTGTTGAGAACCGTGAGACATCTGTGAAGAATGACCGAATGATCCACGTCGTGGAAAAGCAAAATTGCATTGATTAGCCGGTCGAATTGTAATTATAAGATTGGATGAATTGGCAACCATCATATCCGTAACCTGATCTAAAGTTTTACCAACCACTTCAATTCCATTCACTTCTAACACCTCATCATTAACAGCAAGAAGACCTGTACTTTCTGCTAGTCCACCTGGTACTAAGCGAGAAATAAAAATTCCTGGCACTTTTTCTAAACCATGTGGAGTAACTCTTACACTAGTCCCATCACGAATATAAAATCCTAATGGTTTGTCAGATCCATGCTTCACAAGTCGTACCCGCCGACAAGTTTCAGGTACAATGTCAACATCAATGATTGAAGATACTTGTCTAAAATCTTCAGGTAAACTAATAGAAATGTGTGAACGAACTTTTGGAACAGAAGGTAAAAGATAATGACTTAAAAATTTCTTCTTTTTTCCAGCAATTCCATATCCATTTACTTCTTCCCAACTCTCACCTATTGAAAAAAATAATTTTCTCTTTAGTATAGAAATATTGAGACATAATTAATAAGAAATTTAATATAAATAGTCACATTAATCAACAAAATCTTACAAATAATATTAATAAAAATGTCGATATAAAAGCACAATAACTGATATCCAGAAAAAAATCTGCAGAATTTTATCTGACAGTTTTTACCTTGGGAAAAAGAAAACTATGAACTAAACGGTAATTTGAAAGGTGATGAAAAGCTATACATTATTTTTTATTTTCATAACAAGTGTTCATTGTCAAATGTGGAGTATAATGCAAGTTTCTGTATAAGACTTTCCAGACAGTACTTCATGCAATTGAATCACTGTTGTTTCTTGCCTTTCACTTTTTTTTTTTTTATATGGCTACCTTGAGAATTACCCAAAAATCCTCAATTTGCCTAATTTCTGGGTTGTCCTCCTTTTAGATGAAGGTGATGTTTTGTTGTTGCAGGTAATTCAGTACAGTTTTGGCCTGGTGAAAACCTGCTTGGTCTGATCAGAAGACATTCTGCTTGAGAATCACTATTTTGAATGTGTGGGATCAGGTGCTGTCACATAGATTAATAGCAAAACTTAATTTTTTTATTAAGGCTTCACTCAATCCTTTAAGTCCTGTTACCCAAATCAAAATATTACCCTTAAATTTCTTTTTCTTGGAAAACTTTACATTGTCAGGTGTAGAGGAGATATCATTGGTTTAAAATTCATCACCATTAATTGTCAAGTGCAAGAGAGTGAAGTAAGATTCATCATCCAAAATGAAGAACTTTTCAGAGAACTTTTAAAGTAACCTCCTGCACTTCATCTTTGCCAGTAATCTTTGGATGTGCATTCTGTCTGGAATTACCTGCTTCTTTCAATATTTATTAATGTGTTTTTGTATTCAAAGCCTCATGGAACAAAGTACATGAAATTTTCAGTTCCAGGGCTAAAGTCAAATTGAAACCTTCAAAAGTCATCTTCAATTCTTCCAACTTGGCTGTTTTGTTAGAATTTTCACTTTTTTACCAGACTCCTTTTCACTCTGCAATGGTAATCCACTCTTAAAATGTTGGATAACACAATATATTACATTTTGAAATTCCTTCATTTGCAAAATGAGTATGATAAACTTTTTACCTAATATTTTATTTAATGTGTAAAATTGTAAAAAAAAAAAAAAAAAAAATTGCTTTTAAACCTAAGAGTTACGTTTAAAAGCACCTTTTTTCATTGCCACTTTGAAAGAAAAAGAAAATCAAATGCAGAAAAAGATTCTACAATGTTCTACATCATTCAACAAGCTTTCGGATATATCATGTGCAGCATAATTTAAAATTACTGTATTGGCTGTTATCTAGAGCCTGAGATATTTTGTGATTATTTGTCTAGACACCATTACATATAAAAATAAAATATCATTGAAAATTGAACATTAGTTAACATCTACAATCAGAATTATTTAGGCTACAACTGAACTAATTATGAAATGATCAAATAAAATATATTTAGTCTAAAAGGTAAGCAGTTAGACCAGTGTTTCTCAACCTCTTACGAATAGTCGCCCCCTTCAACGTAGTATCGCCCCCTTCACTTCAAAATTCCGATGCCGCAGGCAAAGGCTAACGCCAAATTCGTACTGCATTGAATAGACTAGTGACTAGTATAATGTTATTTGTTTAATTATTGTACGATATAACGAATAAAATATCCAATTATTCTTAATATAATGTTTTACTATATCGCCCAGAAAATTGTTTTT